TTCCAATACCTGATGGGTGTTTGGGTCACCCAGGCAGGCACTTAGGAAGGTACAGTGGGAGAGAAGGCGGCAGGTAGGCTGCTTCCCTGTGAACTCTGCCCTCCTCCATTTGGGGAACCAGCCTGCCTTCCTGGGGAAGGCCTCTAGGCCTTGGACCCTGTGCTGCTAAGGTCAAGTGCCTTCGAGCTCTGCCCACTACATCCCCTCCTCCTTTCTCAGAATCGATGGGCCCTCCCTGCACCCCAAGCCAGGGTAGAGCATGTCTGCAGAGGGAAGCTAGGAAAGTGACCATTCCTCCTGCGGTCAGCCAGGGAATTCTCGGGACAAGGGGTTGAGGTCTCTGGGTAGCGGAGCCTGCAGGTAAGGGGACAGTTCACAGGCCTGGATGAGGGTCTGGACTGAGCTCCAACCTCAGGCAAGCCCCATGCTGTCTGGATTTCTTCATCAGTAAATGAGCATTTGGACTGTGGTTGCTTGAGGTTCTGCCCAGTCTCCAGGGCTCTGGGTTCCCAGCCATCCTTAGCAGGGACCTAGCAGAGCTACCATGGATACAGGCAGGGAGTAAGAGGTGAGGAAGGGGCCTCAGGAACAGCTGGGGTAGGGGTCAGATTGCAGGGCCGGGCACAGAGGGCCAGCTTGCACCCTGGGGAGGGGACTGAGGACAGTCTCAGCCCTAGGAGGGGCAGGCAGCTGGAAGACAGCGTCAGGTTGCCTGACAGGCCTGCAAGCTGGGAACAGCGGAGGGAGTTTCGGCTGTCCTCGTCCCTCCCTCATTCTGTGTGCTCAGGCACCAGCAGGGCGGGGCACCCTGGCCCCCCTCGGGCTTCAGGGCCACTCCCCAAAGACCATCTTAGTAAAGCTGGAGGGATCCTGTGAAGGAAAGGCTGATGACACTCAGCAGCACTAGCCTGGTGACAGGTGCGTGGGTGGGGTGACAGGAGAGAGGACGGCTCTGGGTTCTGGAGTCCCCGCTCTGCTGCTGGCAGGTGTCCTCCAGTCACTCACTGCCTGAGGACTAAACATGAGACCGTGAAGGGCCGAGCAGTGGCTGCGCCCACTGTGCCAGCAGGGAGACGGGCCCTGGCCTCCATGCTCTGAGAATACCACCTCCCCACTCCCAAGACCTCAGGCCAGGAAGGGTCTACCTGCAGGGAGGCTGACTTCCTGGGGGCAAGAGTAATGGCTACCACAAGGGCCCAGAGAGCAAGGTGCAGCCCACTCCTCCTGACCCCATCCTTACTCTGGCCGCATCTTGGCATATCACCCTGGGTTTGCCATCCATTGCTGGCATCTCCACACAAACCTTTCATGTCACCTCCTCAGGACCAGTGCCTTGGCTCCCCAGGAGTTGAGGGAGCAGCATACAGACCCGTGGAGGCCCAGCGTCCAACAACACACTTCACTGTCATCTCCGTGGCCCCATGTTTACAGGCCTGGGTTGGGGCAGCATCTGGCCATTCCATGAAGATAGAAGTCTGAGCTCCAGGAGGTCTCTCAGCCTCCTCAGAAGCCCAGGTTTCTCTCTTGGGAGTTACTGTGACAGAGAGGTCCCTGCCCTGTTCCCAGGGGAGCTGAAAGCAGCTGCCAGAGCCCAGAATCCTGCCTGCAGTCTGGCCCCCTTAAAGCGGTCCCACTTTGTTGGTCTTCGTTAAATTCATGTGACCTAAGGCCCAGGAAAGCAGCAGCGCAGCAGCCAGCCAAGGTGTTGCAGGTGATTCGTCTTTAACAGGAAGGCAGGAAGGAACAGGCCCCAGGTGGCATCCTGACCATGGGAAGGGTTCACCCTGCCCCAGCAGCCTGGTGGATGGTCAGCCTGTCAGGCTCAGACCATTAGCTGCCTGTACCTCACCAGGAGCCAGGCTCACTGCTCGGGGGTTTGTTTGGGTGGAGTATTATTGTGTTTCCCCAAAATGAACTGAGCCCCTCGTGTGCCCCAGGCCTCAAGCTGCTGGGCCCTGGCTTGCCTCACCTCAGGGCAGTGTTGTAGCCGCAGTGGCTGCCCTCAGTTACCTATGCTGGGGCTGGGCACCAGGCTAAGGTCTGGAGGAATCCCTGCAACCAACTATTGGGTGGTTCCTGTGGCCAGCCCCCATTACAGATGAGGGAACATTGTACCTACCCAAGGTCAAATGGCCAGGAAGTGGTCGTGTGATCATTGGACATCTGTCTAGCTCCTGTAGTCAGCTGCTGCCCCGAACCCACCCGAACAGCCCAGAGCCTTCATGAGACCCGTTACCTAGAGCTCCAAGGGCCTCGGGCGCTGGAGGAGGAGTCCTGCCAGTCTGCACAGCTCTTCCCCAAGCCAGTGAGGTTAAGTGAAGGAGGAGCAGAGTCCATCAGGAGACTGCTGGAGGGAGGGTTAGGATGGGGCCTGCGGGGATCTAGTCCCCAAGGGCAAGCTAACACTGGGTTTGAAGGGGACAGCAGGGCTACTGTTTGCACAACCATAGGGAGCACCAGGCATGTTGTAACTGCACACACAGCCTGTGCTGCTGCACAGAGCAATTGGGGAGGTGGCAGCGATGGGTGTAGGAGCCGTCAGCATGCCCAGTGATGGGACCAGCTTTCCTACCCTGCAGGGAGTGCCTGCCGGCTTCTGGGCCCCAACACTCAAAAACAGATGTCCTGCCAAGTTGAGGGCTTAGTAGAGACCCTCTAGCCATCCCTCTTGTCCCTAACCCTGCTCCAGAAAAAGGGCCAGGCTGCCTCCCGCCACCCCCCATCCCTGGACCCTGTTCCAGGCCCCAGCTGGCTTCCTGGCTGGCTGCTAGCCCTGGCTTTCACCCCAAAGGGAGCCACTAGTAAACAGGAAATGCTTCCCAATGTGATGCCTGCTCTGGGCGCTGTTGCCAGCCCACAGGCTGGAGGCCATATCCAAGCAGCAGTGTTGGCTGATCTCACCAGCTGTGGGGGAGGGGGTGCTCACTGGGCTCCTCAACCCTTTGGGGCTGTTGAGGAAGGGTTGCTGAGCCTGAGGCAGACTTCTTGAGGTTGAGTTCCACCAGCTTCTGGCCATGCCCTCCTTTGTCTGGTGCTGCCCGCCTCCAGCAGCCCCCACATGTGCCAAGATATTGACACAGCCCTTCTGCTTCCTCTCCCCAGAGATAGTCTGAAGGCAGCCCCCAAGTCGCAGAAAACAGACTCCCCCAGCATCGACTATGCAGAGCTGCTGCAGCACTTTGAGAAGGTCCAGAAGAAACACCTGGAAATGAGGCACCAGCGGAGCGGGCGCAGTGATCACCTGGACCGAAGGGTTGTCCTCTGACAGGCCTGGCATGGAGAAGGGCCCAAGGAGTGTTCCATGGAGTACTTGGGATCTTCAGGCCCCTTCCCCACAGAGCCTGAGGACCTGCCTGGGGAGCAGGGCTGGCCCTGTCACTAGCCCAGGGATGAGGGAGGGGCAATGGAGGCTGCTCTGTCTATCCAAACTCCTCTCACAGCCCAGCCCCGGGACCTCCAGCACTGTCCAGCATTCAGATAGAGCTGGCTTCCCACCGGAGTGGGCCACAGCCTCAGATGCCACCTGTCCTCTGGAATAGGTCTCTCTAATACCTTCTTGTAAAAGAGCTTGACCTCCCCAGCCCACCAGAGTTCTGGCCTCATGCAGTGTGTGTAGACATACCTGTGTGCTCATAGGGGCCAGCACAGAGGTCCATATGAATAATACATCCCCTTCCCCAATAAAGAAATGACAGAAAACCTTCAACTGCACCTGCTTGCTCCTTCCCATCAGCATCTGCCCCTGCCTGATGCTGCAGCTGCCCCAGGGCCTTGCCACCTGTCCTGAAGACCTGGGTTCATGGTGGCCCCAAGGAGTACTAGCTGTGTTAGGAGAATCTGGGTACAACACACTCACTTGACAAGTGTGGGCCCTAGGGGACCCAGCTCTCAGCCCTAGAACCTGCCCCTTCCTGGAGAGCACTAAGCACTGGTCTCCTGGAACCCTGAAACCCCTCCCAGGCACCTAATCTGACTTTTCCATCCTGGCTGCTTCCAGGATAATGGGACATGTCTCCATTGCACAGATGAACTGAGCTCACCTCAGGAGCTTCTGATTGAAAGGGCATTGCACACGGTGGGATTCTACAGATCACTGGGAACGGGAAGGGAGGCCCAAACCAGAGCAAGGAGGGAGGGGGTTGCCCAGGTGCCCACCCCTTGATTTGGCTAAAGAAGCCTCACCTCACCACACCTGTAGGCCTCGGTCCCTCTTAACCCTCCCAGTTTGAGGAGCCTCAGATTGGTTTAGCAGCTCAGAGCCCCAGCCTCGGGGGTGGATTTACAGTCCGAGTCGCCGAGTCGGGCTGCACTGGCTGGCTCTGGCCCACGTGCACACATGTGCGTGCACACACGTGTGCCCAGGCATCAGGGCGGGACGCGGCACACTTCTGCCCTACTGGTCCGACATGGTCCCCACCCCAAGAAAGGAGGTTGCCCGAGGACCAGGACACCACTCCCAAAAGCCAGGCACGCCATCCAGGTGGCATCCGTGCGCCGCTCGGAAAAGGAGCCCAAGGACTTCTGGAGGAGGGTCGGAGCTCTTCGGTGCCTGGCATGAAATGCCCCAGGGCGGGCGGCCCTCGGGGCACCTCGCGCCCCTGCGGTGTGTGGGGGCGCCCCGTGGGATGTCCCCGAGGACGCAGCCCTCCGCGGGTCTGCGGAAAGCGCGGGAAGCCACGGGCGGGAGACCCGAGGCTGAAAGGCCGCGGAGAGCCCCTCACGCCGGGGCCGGTCCCTCCCCCGCAGGGCAGCCGGCAGGCCCCGCCCCAGCGCCGCCCCCGACCCGCCGTGGCGCCCGCGCCGCCAGCCCCGCTCGCCCGACCAGTCTGGCCGCGCTGGGCTCGGATTTCAAAGCCGTGGTCCCTGGCGGCGAACGGGCCCGCGCCCGCCCAGCGGTTCCCACAGCCCCTCCCGCCGCGACCCTTCCCCCCGCGTCCCCCCTCGCCGCGCCCACGTGACGCCCGCGCCGCGGCGGCTCCGGTTACCGCCGCCTCAGTCCCCGCGCCGAGGCTGCGCCGCCAGCTGCCCGCGCCGCGCCCCCCGCGCCGCCGCCAGCACCGCCGCGACATGGCCTGCGCCGCCCCGCGGCGGCCCGCGACCCTGGAGCGCGGCGCGGCCGGCCGCTAGGAGGGCCCCAAGGCGGCAGGCCCGCCGGGCCCCGAGGCAGGCACCCGCCGCGGCCCGGCTCCCCGCGCCCCGCCTGCGCCCCGCCGCCGCCCGGCCCGAGCATGGAGACGGCGGAGAAGGAGTGCGGCGCCCTGGGCGGGCTCTTCCAGGCCATCGTCAACGACATGAAGGTAACGGGGTGCGCGAGCGCGAGAGCGGGTCCCCTTGGGCGTCTGGCGGGGGGCTGCCGTGCCCGCGGGGTCTGTGTGTCCTTGTCTGAGCGTGGCCGGCCTGTGTCTGCTGTGCGCCGGGATCCCGGGCGCCTGTCTGGGGGTGTGGGTGTTCATGTGTCGGGGTGCCCGTGCAGTCCCCGGGGTCTTGCTCGGGGCTGCCCGGATCGCAGCGCCCCCGTGGGTTCGCGAGCGGAGCCTGCGCACACCCAGGCTCCCTGCACCCCAGACCACACCATGAATGGGGTTTGGCTCTCGGGCGACTCTTTGAACCTTTAACAGGTCTTTCCGGCTTCCGCCCCCTCCCACCACCATGCCCTCCCCCCATACCCCCAAGGCTGGCCTTGGAGCCCAGACAATGTTGTCACCACCAAAGCAGGGAAAAATAATAAAGCAGAGAACCGTTAACTCCTTCCCCACTGGCCTTGGCCACTGAGCCCGACCCTGCGACTGCCACTCCCGGCTCTGACCCCCCAAAATAAGCCCAAGAAGCTGTAGGATTCAAGGTTGCTCCAGGCTGTGTCCCTGTGTCCCAGTGCCTCTGTCCTTACCTTGGGAGGAGGAGCGGAGAAGGTTGGGATGGATAGAGCAACCCCAAGGGAGGGCCTTCCCTACCCTACTTCCACACCAGGCCTCAGCTCCAGCCCCTCCCCATGATTGCCCAAGGTCAGGCTGGAGCAGGCCACTCATTCCTGGCCCATTACTGGCTCACCAGGTGGGGAAACTGAGGCCTGGGAATGGTTCAAGGTCATTTAGGAGACTGTTAGACACTATCCCTGACCTCACCCCTCGTTGTTGATCTAGGAGGCCAGAGGCATCCCTCCCCAAAGAGGCAGGGGTTAGGCAGGCCTGGCTCCAGCTGACAGGCAGAGAGGAGGTCCAGCTCCAGCGACAGGATGAGGTCCGGACCTGCGTTCCTCCCCTTCTCTTTTGGGGTGAGGGAAAAGAAAGGAAGAGAACGGGGTTCCCCACAGGAACTCCTAGAGCCCCCACCCTCCCAGCCTATCACACATCCAGGTACACAACACACTCCCACGGTGACATTGCAGGCCCAGGAGGAAACACCACTCACTAAGGTGCAACATGCCCCACAGTGCTCAGGCAGACCTTTCCGGGGTGGGGGGTTGCAGGCATGCTAGGGAACAGCCCCAGGGGCAGCTACCAGATACCTGCTCCCCAGAAAAGGCCTGAAGCTCCCCTGGCCTGGGACGATGGGTACGCAGCGTGTAGGTGCCGCCACCCCCATCTGGGGCACTTCCCCTAATATCTGCATCCCTTGCAAATCCACCTCTGCACCCTTCTGCTAGCCCGCAGAAGTGCCGGCCTCTTTCTGCCCTCAGCAGCTCCTCCTGTCCTGTGGACATCAGAGCCCTGGCACCAGGATCTCCTCCTGGGACCGGGCAGCCCAGACCACCCTCCCCCAGCCACTCCCAGGGCCGGCACCCCCCTCCTACTGACAGCCTCTCCAAAAACACTGCAGAGAGCAGCAGCTTTTGCTCGGAGAAGAGGGTAAGATTGCCTCCTTCCCTCTCCAGTGTATTTGCAAAGAACTTTGGGGTAAGACAGAAGCACACGGGCCCGGATTGTAACAAGAAATTCAGGCAGGATTTTCTGACATGTGGAGGCAAAATGGGAATGGTTTCACCTGGGGTGATGCCAATACAAACATTCCCCTACCTATGGCACATGCATATGTTCTGGCCAGGGACAGAGCAGGCGACTGGGTGACCTGGAGGCCCATCACCTGGCTTTAGGGGATAGCTTCTGGCTCTTCCACAGAGGGTGGCCATGTCTAGAAAATGAGCTTGCCCCAAGTGGCTTCTCCATAGGGTTTCTACAGGCCCCACAACAGCCCACCCTGACCCTTCTGAAGGCCCAGACTCCAGCTTGAAGGTTAGAGGGGAGGGCTCCCCAGCTGCATCTGGAGCCTGAGCACTCAGGGATGGGTAGGGGGCTCTCAGGAGCTTGCCCGGTTTGCTGTACCTCATTGAACTCAGCGCAGATGTCCACTGGGTGTCAGGCTACCCACTGAAGCCCAGAGAGGGGTGAGGACTTCCCCAAAATGACAGGAGTGGGCTCAGCACCTGGGCTGTGCCTCAGTCCCCTCCCCTGCCCAGGCAGCACATTCAGCAGAGTGAATGGGGCCTCCATCTAGCACTGGCCCATCCAGAAAATGGGGTCAGAAATTTTGCCTACCCTCTCAAGAGTGGTGAATGTCACCCAGACACAGAGACCCTGGTGGGCTCCTAGCAGGGAGGCAGGGATCCCACGTCCCGTTAGCCAGCATCAGCTGAGCTTTCCAGGCAGTGCCTCCTCCAGCCTCTACACTGGCCCGTGAAGGAGGTGTGGTTTCCATCCCGACCTTACAGGTGAGGAGACAGGCTCGGGGAGGGGTCCCTGGCCCAGGTCACCTGGAACGCCCTCTCTCTGGGAGTGTAGCCTGGGTCACTCACCTGCACAGCCAGCATTAGGACTACAACCACCACCCAGACAGAGAGTCTCTGAGGGCCAGGGGCCCCAGCAGCCTCTTCACTGGTCTTATCCCATCCACTTTGACACCTCTAGTGACAAGCATGTCACCTCCCCCTCCAGAGTAGCTCAAGCCCACCCTGATCTCAGATACTCATCTCCCTGCAGCCTCTACCCTGACTGCAGTGACTAGTCAGACAGGGATCAGATCCTGACTCAGCCATTCGGCAGCCTTGGGCAAGTCTAGCCTTAATCTCTCTGAGCCTCCTCATCTCTGGAATGGAGGAGATAAGTGTCCGTTTCACAGGCTGTTGGAAGGGTTCCGTGGATCACATGGTAACAGGGCTCAGCCCTCTGAAAGCATTTGATCACCAGTAGCAATCACTGTCCTAGTGAGAACAGCCCAGGGAGCCTGACAGCCAGGTGCAGGCCCAGGGAGGCCTGAGGACCCTCTCCTGGGACACCAACTGCTCCCGCCCCTCAAATCCTCATCTCTAGGGTCCTTTATGAGTTACCAGTGGGGGTGGAGTCCTCAGTACTTAGAGATCGAGGTTCTGGGTCCATCTGCTGAGGAGGCACTGGCCTGGCCTCCTCACACCCCACCTTGTCCCCTCCGCACGAGAGTGGGAGGCCATAAAGGTCTGAGATGGAGTGAGCCTGGCTGAGTGAAGCTGTCGGGATGGGGCTGTCGCAGGGAGTAGGGACTTTTCTCTGCCCAGCTTCACCTAGTCCCTTGCTCTCTGACTGCCCAGAGGCTGCTGCGGGGCCTGAGAAGGTTTCCTGAGGGCCAGATAGCTGCACCCCAGCATCATCTCTCCTCCCTGAAGGTCTCAGCAAGGCTTTGTTCAGGGTAGAGGGGTCGAGGTGGTAGGAGGGTGCCACCTCTCGGAAGACCCTGGGGATGCCCAGGCAAGGGCAACTCCGCAGGCCTGCCAGGGCTGACCTCCCAGGCCCGTTACCCCTGAGCCCACATGGAGACAGCCCACCCACAGCCTCCCCTCCAGCTCTAGCCTGTGTGAACTTCTCAAATATTTGCTTTCCCTGGGCACTGGTTGGGCTGGGCTGGGAGGGGAGGGAGTTTCTGAGGTCCCAGAAGCTGCCCTGTCCCCTTCACACCCCTGCAGGCTGTCCTCCGCTGAAGAGACCATCTCAAAGCTGGCCCTGGGGTCCCAGCCCACAGAGCCTCCCTGTGAGACTGGGTGGGGCAGGGGTCTCCACCTTCTCTTTTTCCTTGGATTAGCCTCAGTGCCCCATCCCACCTGGAAAGGAAGGTTGGAAACCCCTTGGGGCTGGAGCTGTGCTGGCCTGGGGCTCCCCTTCCAGGATTGAGGCCTCCATGGGGCCCTTGGGCCAGGGCTGAGGTTTCTTGGGGACCCAGCAGCCATGGGAAGGCACATTAGCCAGAAAAGCCCCTTGATTAGACTGGACAACTCGGTCGCCAGGAGCCTGGCCTCCCTGCTAGGAAACCCCCTCCCAACTCAGAGCTCTGGGCCAGGCTGGGATAAAGGCCACACTGTGTCCCCAGGAGGGGCGGGGAGCTGGGGGTGGAGAAAGGTGGCTCTGTTGGCTGCACAAGGCCCCATTCAGCCCAGGGCCCGGCTGTCCCAGGCAGGCTGGCCGGGCCCTGCAGCAGTCACACCCTCCCCGGGCCTGGGAGCCACTGCTGCTGGCCGGGGCTGGCTGGCTGGCTGGGCTGGCAGCAGCTTCCAGGGCACAGAGCGGGGGCCCTCGGAGGCCCTGGTTTAGACCTGAAATGCCTTGAGCCTGCCCCGTGCCATGTGGAGCATCCTGGGCGGTGTCCGGGGGAACATCGTGCCCCTCATGCAGCTAAGCCCCAAGCCCCTGGGAAGCCCCAGGACACAGGACCTTCCAGTTACTGTTTTCCTCTCCCTTGAGGGAGGATGTGACTATGGACAGGAGGGGAGGGATGAGCAAAGGCATCTGTTCCCAGGGCCAGGATTTCGTCCTGCCCCATGGCTCTGTCCTTGGTCCTCTGTCCCCCCAGAGGGCCCAGTAGCCTCCCTGTCCAGGGGGCCAGGGCTGCTCTCAGAAACTGCCCAGAGTCTTGACAGAGGCGTGTGGGGAGCCCAGCCCAGTGGAGCCCTGCAGCCCCATGGAGTCTCACTTCCTCTCCCATCTCCTCGGCAGAGCTCCTACCCCATCTGGGAGGACTTCAACTCCAAAGCCACGAAGCTCCATTCCCAGCTGAGGTGAGGCTGCTGAGCGTGCCCCGACTGGGAAGGGGGTGGGGAGAGTGAGGACACCTCACGCAGACCATCCCACTGTCCTTCTCCCCAGGACCACTGTGCTGGCTGCTGTGGCCTTCCTGGATGCCTTCCAGAAAGTGGCCGATATGGCCACCAACACCCGAGGTGGGGAGGGGGTACAGCTGGAGTCTGGGGGTGTGAGCCAGGGAGAGGAAACCAAGCCCGGAGTCGGGATCTTGAGTCCTGTTCCCTAGTGGAAGGGGCCGGTTATTGAGGAAGTGAGTCTCGCCACTCAGGCAAGCAGGAGTGGGTGCGCAGTGACAGGAGTGCGACAGTGGGGTGCTCCTCAGACCCCTCGGCCAGTTGTGCACCCTTTTGTACAGTGAGTCTGATTACGGCTTCTTCTCAGCCACCTCCTCTGCCCTTTTGAGAGCCCACGGGGGCAGGCGAGCCTTCCCTGCTGGCCCTGGCGTCTCCTTTGCTTCTGGTCTGAGTAGCACGGACCTGGGGCATCTGCTCCTTCAGGCGGCGAAAAGCAAGGCAGCGGGGGTGTGCTGGCACTCGCGGCTGCATCTGAGCACACCTGAAAGGGGTTCCTGGTAGGAGGGGATTGGGGCCTGCCTCTCCCAGCTGAGTGAGGGGCTCCTGGTCTGACCACCAGAGCACCTGCACTGCAGGAGGCTGGCACGGCTGGCATGGGCAGGGCCTTGGTCCTGCACTGCAGAGGGGCCCAGTAACTACTGGGGAACAATCAAATCCCCAGCAGGGGCCAGCATGATTGCGGGATGCTAGGGACTGTTCGGGCTGCGGCCGGCCTTCACGGGCCAGTGCGCCCCCTCGTGGCCTTGGCCGGGAGTGCAGAGGCTCCGGCGGGCCCCTTCCCATGCCACGCGCTTGCCTCGCCAGGGGCCACACGGGACATCGGCTCGGCGCTCACGCGCATGTGCATGCGCCACCGCAGCATCGAGACCAAACTGCGGCAGTTCACCAAGTGAGTGGGCGCTGTGGGCTGGCAGGGTTGTGCAAAGGAGACACCCCTGCGGGCCCTGATCTGCACACCCATGTCCACAGCGCCCTGCTGGAGAGCCTCATCAACCCGCTGCAGGAGCGCATCGAGGACTGGAAGAAGTCAGTCAACCAATTGGACAAGGACCACGCGAAAGGTGAGGCTAGGGCTTCCGCCTGGGTTCCTGCCCCCATGCCGCAGAGACCCCACCCAGCACAGCGCTCCTCTCTCATCACCTGCACAGAGTACAAACGAGCCCGGCACGAGATCAAGAAGAAGTCTTCAGACACACTGAAGCTGCAGAAGAAGGCGCGCAAAGGTAGAACCCAGAGCTGCCCATCCAGGCACAGCCCCACGGGGCCCCACTCCATCTACCCCACTGCCCTCTGGGGCGCCCTAGGGCATCGTCCTGGCCAGAGAGCCCTATCCTGGACACAGGATCCTCCAACCTGTTGGGTGGGACAGAGGGACCTTCCCGAACCCTAGACCCAGACCTCCCTCTCAGGGAGGCACAAGAGGCTCTACAGGCCCAGGCACCCCACCCCCTCCCCAGGAGTGGCTCTGTCCATCCGACTGTCTTTCACACATTCTTTCTCTGTCTCTCCTCCTTTCCTCCCACATCCTTCCTGTAGAGCTACTTGGTAAGTCAAGTGTCCGTCTCTCCAGCTGCTCCTCCCGTCCTTGTCGCATTTGTCTGTCTCCCCCAGCTCAGGGCCATTGGAAGGAGCTTCTCCAGGCCAAGGAGGAGGAGCAAGGAAGGCGGTTAGTCCAGTGAGGGAGGGCCTGGGGCACAGTTCCCCTGGGGCCCCCATGGCCCCTGGCCAGGGATGAGTCCAGGGCCCTGCTGGGTCAGTCTGCCAGGTCAAGAGGGGTTGGACTGGGCCGGGTGGGAGGTACAGGCCTTGGCTGCCCTGCCCCCACCTTGCCACCCAGAGTTCTCACCGGTCACCTCCCTGCTTCCTGTCTCACCACTCCTCTACATCATCCTCTCGCCTCTCTCTGTCTCTCTCGCTGCTTCTTGGTGTCACTGTTGCTGTCCTTGTGCATCGCCCTGAGCTGAGTGGGGGCCCACACAGAGACCACCCCCACCCGGCGCCCAGGGACCAGCTCCAGCTCTCCTGACCGGGGCCTGGAGGACAGCTGAGCCCCGTGCTCTACCTTGTCCTGTTTCCACCCACCTCCTAGGAGGCGAGAGGGTACCATCTTGGGGGTGGAGGTCTCCTCTGGGCTCCCCTGAGCATAGCTGTTCCAAGGGCAGCCCTGGGGTTGCCCAGGACTCTGCCCACTCCAGGTCCTGGGTGGTTTTGCAGCTTTGGTGTCTTTCCTGTGTACGTGTCGGTCTGTCCTCTTTGCCTGCTCTGGGGACCAGCCCTTCTACAAACCCTGGAGGTCTGAATGCCCTCCCCAGTTCCCTGGCCCCCATGGCAGTACCCAGCCCCACAGCCAGGGGCACCACCACGGGGCCTGAGCCATGAATGCAGCAAGCTGGGCCGGGGTCCCCAGCGCGGCCTCTCCTCCCAACCCCTCCAGGGAAAGGAGACCTACAGCCCCAGCTGGACAGTGCCCTGCAGGACGTCAATGACATGTACCTGCTGCTGGAGGAGACAGAGAAGCAGGCGGTGCGCCGAGCCCTGATTGAGGAGCGTGGCCGCTTCTGCACCTTCATCACCTTCCTGCAGCCTGTGGTGGTGGGTCCCTCGGGGCAGAGTGGCATTCAAAGCAGCCCACAGTTGGACTGGTTGAGTGGTCCCCTTGGGGTGCTACCATCACCACATCTCAAGAACCAGGATTTGGGAACTGTTGGCCATGAGTTATTTTTGGTAACTTGGTCCAAGCAGGCTGGGCCAGGCCCAGGGTTGACCCCTTGGCCTTGGAGAAAGGCCACTTCTCAGTGATCCCTGGCTGGGTGCACTCAGTGCTAAATGCTCCGACCCAAAGGCCTGTCTCAGCTCATCACCTCTGGTGTGGCCTGGACAGATGGTCCTGCCAGCCCCAGGCTGTGCAGGCCCAGCCTCCAGCAGCCCAGCAGCACTGGCTGGGGGAAGGGCGAGAGGAGAGGCCAGGCGAAGCCTGTTCTCCCAGGGGGGGCAGGCAGGGGCAGGGCCAGCAGCCCTGAGTCCCTGCTTCCTCAGAACGGCGAGCTGACCATGCTGGGAGAGATCACCCACCTGCAGGGCATCATCGACGACCTGGTGGTGCTGACCGCGGAGCCCCACAAGCTACCCCCCGCAAGTGAGCAGGTATGGCCAGCCCTGGGGACAGGACTGGAGGGAATGGCCTGCCCTTGTTTGGGGACAGTAGAGGAGAAAAGGAGACAGTATTTGGGGGAGACAGCTGAGAAGAAAGGACTAACTGTGCCCTAACACCTACTGTGGGGCATCCAGGGCCACCTGTCCAGGTGAAGGGTGATGTGCCCCAGGACCCAACAGGGCCTCAGACTGAGAGCAGATGGACAGAAGTCCTGGACTGACCCTGAGCTTGCGCACCCCACCCCACCACTCTGCTCCCACTGCTCCAGGGTCAGCCCCCGGACAGCCCCTGGACTGCCCCTGAGCCTGCGCACCCCACCCCACCACTCTGCTCCCACTGCGCCAGGGCCAGTCCCCCAGACAGCCCCTGGACTGCCCCTGAGCCTGCGCACCCCACCACTCTGCTCCCACTGCGCCAGGGTCAGCCCCCCAGACAGCCCCTGGACTGCCCCTGAGCCTGCGCACCCCACCCCACCACTCTGCTCCCACTGCGCCAGGGTCAGCCCCCCAGACAGCCCCTGGACTGCCCCTGAGCCTGCGCACCCCACCACTCTGCTCCCACTGCACCAGGGCCAGTCCCCCGAACAGCCCCTGGACTGCCCCTGAGCCTGCGCACCCCACCCCACCACTCTGCTCCCACTGCACCAGGGCCAGCTCCCCAGACAGCCCCTGGACTGCCCCTGAGCCTGCGCACCCCACCCCACCACTCTGCTCCCACTGCGCCAGGGTCAGCCCCCCAGACAGCCCCTGGACTGCCCCTGAGCCTGCGCACCCCACCCCACCACTCTGCTCCCACTGCACCAGGGCCAGCTCCCCAGACAGCCCCTGGACTGCCCCTGAGCCTGCGCACCCCACCCCACCACTCTGCTCCCACTGCTCCAGGGTCAGCCCCCGGACAGCCCCTGGACTGCCCCTGAGCCTGCGCACCCCACCCCACCACTCTGCTCCCACTGCACCAGGGCCAGCTCCCCAGACAGCCCCTGGACTGCCCCTGAGCCTGCGCACCCCACCCCACCACTCTGCTCCCGCTGCACCAGGGCCAGTCCCCCAGACAGCCCCTGGACTGCCCCTGAGCCTGCGCACCCCACCACTCTGCTCCCACTGCGCCAGGGCCAGTCCCCCGGACAGCCCCTGGACTGCCCCTGAGCCTGCGCACCCCACCCCACCACTCTGCTCCCACTGCGCCAGGGCCAGTCCCCCAGACGGCCCCTGGACTGCCCCTGAGCCTGCGCACCCCACCCCACCACTCTGCTCCCACTGCGCCAGGGCCAGTCCCCCGGACAGCCCCTGGACTGCCCCTGAGCCTGCGCACCCCACCCCACCACTCTGCTCCCACTGCGCCAGGGCCAGTCCCCCAGACAGCCCCTGGACTGCCCCTGAGCCTGCGCACCCCACCCCACCACTCTGCTCCCACTGCGCCAGGGCCAGTCCCCCGGACAGCCCCTGGACTGCCCCTGAGCCTGCGCACCCCACCCCACCACTCTGCTCCCACTGCGCCAGGGCCAGTCCCCCGGACAGCCCCTGGACTGCCCCTGAGCCTGCGCACCCCACCCCACCACTCTGCTCCCACTGCGCCAGGGCCAGTCCCAGGCACTTACATGTGCCTGGGTCACCACTGAATCACCTCTGAGACAGGGAAAGCGGAGGCTCAGGCAGGTCTAGAACTTGCCCGAGGGGCACAGCAGAGCAGGCGTTGAGCCTCATGGTGTCCACGGTCACTCTCACCTGGCTCCATGCCAGTGGCAGAGTCCTCGGGAGCGTTCCTTCTCCCTCATCCCGGCCTGACTGGGCAGCGTCCCTGAGGGTCAGAGGGGGCGGATCTCCCCAGGTCTCCCCCAGCCCTCTGGCAGCCCTGCTTCCTGCTCACCACTGAGGAGCTTTCATAGGAAAAGGCTGGGAGGGCTTCACACTCCTGAGGGTCTCCTGCTTGGGCCTGGTTCTCACTTGGGAAGAGAGTTGCAGGGCCCTGGGGGACCCCAGGGAAGGATAAGGCTGCCTCCTGTGATCTCCACTCACCTCCCTGTCCAGGTGATCAAAGACCTGAAGGGCTCAGACTACAGCTGGTCCTACCAAACCCCACCCTCGTCGCCCAGCAGCTCCAGCTCCCGGAAGTCAAGCATGTGCAGGTGAGTAGGGGCTTGGGGGTGGGAGGGCCCAGGGATAACCTGAGAGGGAGTGGGGAAGCTCCCACAAAAACCGCATCCACAGTTTCAGGGCCCCACAATTCACATAAGTTCTGCATCATCGAGGAATTTGCAAGTGTAGAGGGAAAACACCCCCCGGCTCGAGACTGTGTTAGCAGGAGGGTCTGTGCAGGGGCTGCAGGGGCGGCTTTGTTTCTGGAGTAGGACCGCGCGCCAGGCGCCGTGCTCAGCGCTCCCTGCGTTCTCCTCACTGAGCTCCAACACCACTGTACTGGGCGTGGTGGTGTTCCCAGTTCATGGAAGGGGAAGCAGACCCAGGACAGAGTCCCAGCATTTAACCTGCGGGCTCTGCCAGGCCCAGCACGGTCTGGGGGAATAGTAAGAACCAAGAGTGGGGAGAGGCGTGGAGGCTTCTAGAACATGTGCTGAGACCGCAAGCTGCAGACACTCCAGCTGGCTGGTTCCTGAGAGCTGGCACCTGGGCAGCTGCCACAGTCCCGAGCCCCAGCCCAGGCTGCCCCCAGGTCTCAATCACCAGGCAGGCCCAGGGCCAGGGGTACTTCCTGCACTGGTACCAGGGCAGGATTTGGAGAAGATATTTAAGAATCAAGGCTCCTTGGGTGGGAAGGCAGTGAACGCAGAGCAAATTACTCATGGGGGAACCCTCTCTCTGCCTTGGGGAACCCCTTCTGTGCCTGGCACCCCTTCCCCAGTACCACCTCTGGCTTGGCACCCAGGGCATGGAGGTAAGCTGGGCACAACTACTGCAGGGAGAGGAGGGCCCAGGCTTACTGGACCCCAGGTGGCATCACAGAGGGAGGGTTGATTACAGGGGACACCCTTGACCAGGGCTGGGGGCTGGGGGACTTTAGGGTCACACTCAGGAGAAAGCAACCATCATCGCCCAAGAGGGAAGTGGGGCACAGAGGATGTGAGCTGCAGGGCCAGACCCCTTGAGAGGGTGGAGGGGATGAGGCAGCGGTGGCTCCAGGACCCACTCAGACCATCACCCCACACTAGACATCCAGGAAACTGATGCCTAGTGTTCTGAAGTCTGCTGCTCTGCTCTAATGGTGGCAGAGGAGGCAGAGAGACTGCCTCACCTGGCATGCCCTGGCAGCAGCTCCCGGAGCAGTGGGGTGCTCCAGAGGCAGGGGCTGGCCAGCTCTTTGGTACTGTCCCCTGCCCAGGCCCACCCTGTCCCACAGTCCCAGAACCCAGCTCCTGTGAGGCACCTGGGTCTCAGGACCTTGCAGTCTGACATTGTCTTTTCCTTCCTTTGCCCCTCACCCATCTCCCCCACCCTCATCTGTCACCCTCCCTTCCACACACACCCGTGTCTCCCCGTCTGGTTGCTGTGTTCCCCCGTTCACTCCCCCAGCGCCCCCAGCAGCAGTAGCAGTGCAAAGGGTGGTGGAGCCCCCTGGCCGGGGGGTGCCCAAACATACTCACCCAGCTCCACCTGTCGCTACCGCAGCCTGGCACAGCCAGCCACCGCCACGGCCCGCCTCTCCAGCATCTCCTCCCATGACTCTGGCTTCGTCTCCCAGGATGCCACCTGCTCCAAGCCTCCCTCACCCATGCCTTCCGACATCACCAGCCAGGTGAGGGCGGGTGCCATGGCCTCGTGCCAGCCACAGGCTATTTGCGTGTGGGGCCACCTACAGCTGTTGACACTGGCCTGCAGGTCCCCAGGGCCGTCGCATCGGGGACCAAGCCGAGCTCACTGTCAGGCTAAGGAGAGCTGGGGAGGTCTGGGAGCAGCCACAGTGCCCCAGCAGTGTCGGCAGGAGGCTTTTGTGGCCCTGCTTCCTCCTCGTGTCTCCATTCCTTGCCTCCTCCCTTCTGGCCAGAGGAGCTGGGGGTGGGCAGTGGGCCAGCTCTGACCCCTGGGACCGCCCCCTCCTCCATGCTTGGGCCAGCGCACTCTAAACCCAGAGACTGGCCAAGACTCTCCTCAGGTGCAGGCTCTCAGTTCGCCATCCTCAGTGAGATGGACACATGGGGACCACAGAAGACAAAGGGCGGTCAGGCCCGCATGCCCGGGACACTGCGGGGAACGGGAGTGACCCACCTGCAGGTGTGCTGTGCACTGCCCTCCCCGTGACAGCTGAGCTCCCATCTAGGCTGTGTTCCCTGACCCTCCCTGAGCCGGTTCACCTCAGCACAGACCAGCCCCTGCTGCCCTCGTCCTCGAGGCCCCTCCCCCACATTTCCCGCTCCCTGCCCGCCTCAGAGCGCTGTGTCCCAGCCACCCCAGCGGGTCAGAGAAGGTCCTTTCTGTTCCGACTTTAAGTAGTTGTTGGGTTGTTTTTTTCATGACTAAGTATTGAATTTTTCCATTGAGGTTTCTACATATTTTTTTAATCCTTACCTGAAGACATGCTTAGAGAGAGGAAGGGAAGGAGGGAGTGAGAAAGAAAGAGAGAGAAAAAAACACCAGTGTGAGAGAGAAACAAGATCAGTTGCCTTCCATATGCTCCCCAGCTGGAGACCAAACCCACAGCCCAGGTACGTGCACTGACTGGGAATCGAACTGGCAACCTTTTGGTGCACGGGACAGTGCTCAGCCCTGAGCCACTCCCACCGGGCTCCACATACTTTTCTCCATCAATTCTTGTTTGTTTGTTTTTACAGTTACATTGATAAAAATCTAAATCTGTTTATTGTTTCCTCTGAATCCTCACCCTCGGGTGCTTTTTCCTTTTACTTGGTGATCTTGGTTCATCATAAACTGTAAAAAAATCCAGGGTCATCCTGGCTGGTTTGGGTCAGCAGTTAAAGCATCAGCCCGCGGAGCAATGAGTCGCGGGTTTGATTCCAGTCAAGAGCACGTACCTCAGTTGTGGTTCATCCCTGGCCCTGGTCAGGGTCGTGCAGGAGACAACCAGTTGATGTGTCCCTGTCACATCAATGTCTCTCTCTGTCTCTCCCTTCTCTCTCTCGTCCTCCCTCTTATTCTGTCTGAATTACAATAAATAAAAAAATATCCTGGGGTGAGGATTTAACAAAAAATCCAGGGGTCTAACTTAAGGATGATTTAGAGAATTTGACAGGATCCGGTAGGGAGGTGCTCCTGGTTGACCCCCTTTGGGTTCCCTGGCCTGATTCGGGTCGTGCAGAGTGAGCTGCGCACCACGCACCCGCCCGGCCCCACGGTGCTGAAGCTAGCGTCTGCCGGGGGCCCAGCTCCTGTGCCTGCCCTGGCTTTTGTCCTTCGTTCTTTTTTGTTGTTTTGAGTTGGGGGCTTCCCAAGTGGACTTCTGCTCCCACCATTCTACTGAAACAGCTCTGAATATGTACACGACACCCCTCTGTCCTCCTCTGATGGGCCCCCAGCAGCTCCTTGTCACCCTGCTGGGTCTTCCTCTCACCCACCGAATCGGCGTGCCCAGGGGCCTTGAACCTTTTCTCTGACTCCCTCACTGCCAGGCGACCTTGTTCTGTCTCACGGTTGCTGGGTTTGTGGCTCCAACCCTGACTTCTCTGCAAACCCCAGGCCTGTAAATACAATGGCCTACGTCGAATCCATGTGTAGATACCTCATAGGCAGCTCAGCTTAACAAGTGCAGGAGGGGACTCTGGGCCCCACACTTCCCCCAGAGGCCTGTCCTTCTCAGAAAACAGCGACACTATCAACCCAGCTGCTGAAGCCGGACACTCTGCTGCCGTCCTTTATCGGTCTCTCCCTTATCCACCACTTCCAGGCCATCAGCTGCAAGTCCTGTTTTTCATTCTCAAAATGTGCAGTTCTTGGGCTGGGCTGTAGGATAGGTCACAGCTGATGGCGGGCACTCGGGTGCTGTGTTCCCCTGCAGGCGCGCTCGGCCGTGGCCCTGGCTGAGGGGGGCGCAGGGCGGGTGCTGTTATCAGACCATCCGCTGCATGCCGGCCCTGTGACCAGATCTGTTCTCTCCTCTCCTCTGGCCTCCTGCCCTGCCCGCCTGCCTGCCCTGCCCGCCTCTGCATGGCAGAAGTCCTCCAGCTCTGCGTCCTCCGAGGCCTCGGAGACCTGCCAGTCCGTTAGCGAGTGCAGCTCTCCCACCTCGGTCAGTGCTCCCCACCCTCTGCCGGACAGACGCAGGGAGGGCCCAGGTCCAGCCAGAGGTGGTGCACACAGCCTGGCCCCTAAACCAAAGCCCCCTGGGCGCCACTGCAGCCACTCCCCACACACGTGTCTTCTTTCGCTCCTGGGATCTGCTGTCCTGCACTGGCAGGACAGGGGTCATAGCACCCCGCATATTGTCCTTGACCACAGTTGTGAGCCTGAGGCCCCACATAGACCAGAAACCCTGACCCTCTGCTACAGTGAGGGGCCCCTTGGCAACGGACAGCAGGGCAGAGGGTCCCACTGACCTGCCTGCCACACCCTGCAGGACTGGGCCAAGGCCGGCCCCCACGAGCAGCCCTCCACCCTACAGCGGAGGAAGGACCGAGTGGAGCTCCTCCGAGACACAGAGCCAGGCCCTGCCAGTGGGGGCGCCCTGGGCCCCAGTGGGGAGGAAGCTCCGAGACCCCGCATGTCCCCTGCCACAATCGCAGCCAAGGTAGGCAGCAGCTCTCTGGGCATCCAGCCAGGGCCCCACCTTCACTCCCAGGTCAGTGCCAGGAGGCTGGGCACTTGGTCTCAGTGCCAGCTCTGCCCCTGGGGGGAGCTCCCTGGAGTCCAGGCTGAGGAGGGAGCTGGGAGAGAGGCTTCAGCCTCCAGTCTTCCCGGCCCAGCACGGGGAGGAGGCGTCACCGGCCGCCAACGAGCTGGCCCTGGTGCTGACGCGTGGGGGGAACTGGGGGCGAAGCTTCAGCCTCCAGTCTTCCCATCCCAGCACGGGGAGGAGGCGTCACCAGCCGCCAGTGAGCTGGCCATGGTGCTGACGCGCGGGCTGAGCCTGGGGCGCCAGAAGAGCAGCCGGGACTCTCTGCAGTGCTCCAGCGGCTACAGCACGCAGACCACCACGCCCTCCTGCTCGGAGGACACCATCCCCTCTCAAGGTAGGCCCCGGGGCGGGGGCGGGTTCCTGGGCCAGCAGCCCCCTAGCCCTGGCCCACTGCATCCCGTGCCCCCAGGCTCCGACTACGACTGCTACTCCGTGAACGGGGATGCTGACGGTGAGGGCCCACCCGAGTTCGACAAGTCATCCACCATCCCTCGCAACAGCAACATTGCCCAGAACTACCGCCGCCTGATCCAGACCAAGCGCCCGGCTTCCACCGCCGGGCTGCCCACCACCGGGCTGCCCACCGCCTCGGGCGCACCCCCTGGCGTGGCCACCATCCGTAGAACGCCCTCCACAAAGCCCACTGTGCGCCGCGCCCTCTCCAGTGCTGGCCCCATCCCCATCCGGCCACCCATCGTCCCCGTGAAGACGCCCACAGTGCCCGACTCCCCCAGCTACGTGGGGCCCACTCGGGCAGGCAGCGAGGAGTGTGTCTTCTACAGCGACGAGGCCGCCTCGCCCCTGGCGCCGGACCTGGTGAAGGCCTCCCCGAAGAGGTTGAGCCTGCCCAACACCGCCTGGGCCAGCCCGGCCCCTGAGCCTGCTGGCTACCCCGGGCCAGGGGCCGAGGACGAGGAGCAGCAGCAGCTGGCAGCCAATCGGCACAGCCTGGTGGAAAAGCTCGGGGAGCTGGTGGCGGGTGCCCACGCCCTGGGCGAGGGCCAGTTCCCCTTCCCCACCGCCCTGTCCTCCACTCCCGCGGAGGAGACGCCCACCCCGCCCCCAGCAGCCACCAGCGATCCTCCAGCTGAAGACATGCTTGTGGCCATTCGGCGTGGGGTGCGGCTCCGCAGGACCATCACCAACGACAGGTCAGCGCCCCGCATCTTGTGATGGCTCCACCTCCGGCCACGTGCGAAGCAGGTGCAGGGCAGGCGGCCTGGCTGTGGAGCCGCAGCTGCTCCGAGCAAGGCACAGCCAGGAGAGCAGAGCCAGGCAAGCTTTTTTTTTAAGTCACATTTGGCAAAGCCACTTTATGGAAAGAGACACCCAGCTTGGACTTGGACATTTAAACAAGAAGTGACTTATTTAACAGACCTCGCCTCGATGGAGCCTGCAGGCTTTGGACTGGATTTGGAGCCTGTTTTATACTCTTTGCCTCCTCTGCCCCTCCTCCTCCTCCCTGCGGGCCCTGCCTTTCCCACACCCCAGTGAGCCCTGAGCCGCTCCCGCCCGGGGCAGAGGGGCTGGGCCCGCCTCTCCGCCTGGCCGCCTGGCCTGGGCCGACAGTGCCACAGCTGAGCTCCCTGGCCCGGCTGCTCCCAGGGTCAGCGGTGCCCTGGGCCTTTCCAGACTGAGCCCTTCTCCCTCCGTCCCCCTGCCCTGCGTCTCCCTTCTCCTGTCTACCAGGGAGTCAGGGTGGCTGACGGGGAGCCCGGTGCCCGGTCAGCTACTGCAGCGGATTTGACTGGAAAGGTGCCGAGTGGCAGGTGGTCGTAGGGGCTGGTAAGTTCAGAGGCCAGCCCCCCGTGGGGAAAGGGGGCCTAGGGCCCAAGTCAGGTCTTGGGAGAAAACCCAGGGAGCCTGCCTAGAGGAGGCTGGGGACCCTGAGTAGCTTCCATGTCCTGGTTTCTCCTCCCCTGGGGGCAGGTGGGGGCAGCAGGGAAGGAGGCAGGCCTGGGGGCCATGGGGCCAGCCCCCAGGAGCTACTTTCAGATGTCTGGTCCTCGTTTGGACACGTCCAGTCTAATCTGGGTGGCACTTTGCTCACAGCTCCGGCCGCCTTTGGGTGTGAGGACTGGGGCAACCGAGGGTGTGGGGGGGGGGGGTTACTTTATGACTATAATAAAAAAAAGAGCTGACTGGACAAGGACTGTGTATGGGGACAGGGTGGACAATACAGGGTGTGTCCAAGCGTGCCTGAGGGACGGGCCACTGCGGCCTGGGGGGCCCATTGCAGGAGGAGGAGGTCCGGTTAGCTCCCCAAAAGCCAGGGGACAGCTGTTCTCTGTAGCCTCTGGAGCAAAGCCAAATTAAGGGCTTCCTGCCTGTCTGGGGGTGGGGGTGCTCCTCTGGCCAGGCCAGGCTGAGGGCAAATCCAGGAGGATTGGCTTTGACTCTCTGTTGCCAGAGGAGACGCCATCCCAGGATGCACCTACCTCCACCTCACAGTCCTGGCCCCATTCTGGCAGTGAGGACAAGGGTGGGGTGGGCTGGGGTGCCCTCACCCTCCATGCACCAAGTTGTGCCATCGCTAAGCGGGTAAAAGCAGGTGCGCCTCCAGAGAGTGGAGGCTTCCTGAGGTCCCGCAGGCCAGCCGAGAGCTGGGCTCAGGGCGGCAGGGCCACAGGGCAGGGGCCTCTTGGGGTCAGGAGAACAGGCTTTTCCTGGTCTGCACAGGATGAGGTTGGTCTGAGTCTCTGAGCTGGAGATCTGGGTAACTTGTGGTGGGCTGAGGAACCAAGGGTTTCCATGAGTGGATGGAGCCCCGGCTCCCCTGGGTTGACGGAGAAAGGAACCTGTAAGTTGTTAGGTCTGCGAACAACCTTGCCGAGAGCTCCGGCCCCCCCAGAGCCCAGGTTTGGGCAGCTGGCGGGGCCCAGGCAAAGGAGAGCCTGGAGGAGGCGGAGAGCAAGCAGCCAGTCTGGGCAGCCCCAGGATGGGGCTTACAGCACCCCTGCCCTCGGCTGCACCAGGCTTCGCCAGGGCGGGTCGACAGGAGGGTGGGTGCAGGACGTGTGACGGAGCAGGGCGTGGAGCAGTGGGGTTGCGCTGGGTCCTTGTGTCCCCAGAGGAAGAACTGGCCTCCTGGGGTGGGGGTTGGCTTTGGAGGTCCGGGGAGGGTATGCACCCCATCTTGCTTGTCCCCCTTCCCCTCCCAGCCACCCCGGGGTTGTACATAACTCTTCCCCTTGGCCACCTCTCATCCATTTAGTGACCACCCCGGGGATCCTAGCCAGCCATCCCGCGTCACAGACTTTGGTTGGGGGACTTCTTTACATTTGTTTTATTTTTCATTTTGTACAGAGACATTCTTTTCAAAGTCTTTTGACTGAAGTAACTTTTCTGGTGCTGTTGTTAACTTGTTCCTTCTTTTTAATTTATTTCCCCAGCCCAGGCTCCCCTCCTGGTTCCCACTCGCCCTCTCTTCCCTTCACCCCCTCCACATCCCCCCAGCCCATCTGAACCATTTTGTTTCTTTTCTGTTGATTTTCTGAATAAATTACCCTCTCCACTCCTCCCCCTCCAGCCCACCCTGCCCTTTAGTCACTGCTACAAGTAACAAATGCACTGTGAAGATCCCAGTATTAATAAAGTTGTACTGTAATTAACACCTCTGCCTCTGCCTGGCTTCCTGCCCTGTTGAGCACACCTACAGCCCCCCGCCCAGCCCTTTCCCACCCGATCCCAGCCTGGGGGAGCCTCCCTGGGGCCAGGGCTCTGTAGCAGGGGCAGGAGTGGCCGGGTCTCATGCCAGGACCTACACCTTTGAAGGTGTCAGCTCTGTCCTGCTGGGAGCTGTCATGGGCAGTCAGAGGGAGGCCAGGAGGCACTGCAGGGTCAGCCCCACACCCCGGTCCCGCTGATGCCCATGCACTAGGGCCAGGCTGGACGGAATTTAGTCCCTTCCCCTGGCAGGTTCTGTCCACCCAGAGTCAGAACCCTCAGGCCCAGGGCCTGCCAGCCCTTCTCCCACTCATTGCACTTGGTGAGGGGGGAGGGAGGGGCGGAGCCCACCCTTGCAGATGCACAGCAGAACAAACCAAAACAAAATAAAGTGGGTGTTTAATAAAAAAAAAATAAACTGGAAGAGCACCCACTGTGGCAAGATATGGCATTTGGCTCTGCCCTCTCCCCGACCTTGCTGAGTCCTGTCCCCTCCAACCCACCTGCCGCCAGCACAGCTCTGGTCCCTGTTCCCTTCAGGTAACCAGGTAACGGAGGCAGCCTGCGTGGTGCCAGGAGGCCGTGAGCTCTGCCTCGTTCACCTTCAGGGTCCCCAGGCCCCCACCGCTCCAGGTGAGACCTTGTGAGGTACAGAGGGTGGAAGCTGAACCTTTCTGGGTACAGAATACCCCTGAAAGGAAAAACGCCCTTTCTGGGGAGCTTTTCCCAAGGGGGCTCCCACCACCACCCAGTCAAACCGGGAGCTCCTCCATCTGCCCCACACCAGCTACCGCTCGGGCTGCTTGGGGCAGAGGCCTCTGTGCTCTCAGTAACTTCAATGAGCCGGGTCCAGCCTTGGATTCTAGGGAGTGGGCAGGGGGTGGGGGCCGCCGGGCAGAGGCACAGCTAGGCAGCCGCACACTGCAACGAGGGCTCTGGGCTGTGGGGCTGAGGGCTTGGCACCTCACAGTCCTGCCAGTTTAAGATGGAGCTTTGTTTACCTGCAGGGAGAGAGAAAAAAACTATAGCCAGCTCTGCCAATGGGGCTCAGAGGCCACGCCACGCCCCGCCATGCCCCGCCCAGCCCCGCCCAGCCCCACCCCTCAGGGCTGCTCACAGCAGGAGCAGTACAGCAGCTCCATGACCCGAAAGCAGTTGTCCAGCAGGGCTTTGGGCCGCACCAGCTTCAGGCTCAGCCCAGGAGCGTGCAGGAGGGACAACACAGCTTCCACCTTGGGGCTGACCTTCACACCCTGGAAGGGAGGACACTGTTAGGACAGGGCGAGTAAAGAGACGGTCACCTGCCGGGACAGCTGTGGGGCTGGCACATCTGGAGCCCAGCAACACACAGAGGAAAGACGGGACTTCCTGTGACCAGGAGGCTTGTGAGCGATTTCTCTTCTTGCTCTGGGTGCCAAGTTTCCTGGGGACGGGGCGGAGGGGTGCCCCTCAGTGTCCCTCTCCCAAGTACAACACAGAGGCGTCTCTTTTCCCATCACTGGAAAAATGACTACCCTGCCCCAGGGTACCAAAGAGCCACTGAAGAAATCACAGGAGCTCCTGGCCTCTGTCAGAATTTCGAGAGCTCCCCAAAGTTTGAGGCCACTGCAAAAGCAGTTGTAGGCCCCTAAGCCAGTTATCATCAGAGGCTCACAGAGGTTGTGGGGTGTTCTGGTTGGGGAGCAGGTAGGGGTCCCTGGGGCAGGTGGGTACCAGGGTCCTGAGGAGGGCTGGACAGAGTGGGGAGCAAGACAATATGGGGTGTGTGAAGGGTACGGGCACACACTCATCCAGCACCTTACTCACAGGCTTTGGGGGGACATACCCAGAGACCTCAGATGAACCCTGCTCAGCAGGCAGTAACCAGGAACCTTTTTGTTGTATTACTACTACTACTACTGCTGCTGTTTGAAGTCCATAGTTGACATGAAGGTTCGCCTGTGCTGTGCAGTTCTATGGGCTTTGACAAATGTCATACAGCCACCTGCACAGCATCACACAGAAGCGCTTCATCACCCCGAACACTGCCTGTGCCCCGCCTATTCATTCCTCCTCCCCTTTCCCCCAAAGGAACCTCATCTTTTAAATGCAGAAACAAAGCCACAGGGTTCAATGACTTACCCAAGATCGCAGAGCAAGGCAGAACCTGAAACAGGGTCTCAGTCCCATCTCCTGACCCCCAGATCAGCCCACCTGCTGGTCCTCACTGGGCATCTCCTCCTCTCTCCCATTTCTCCCACAGTCATCAGACAGGACATGCTGGCACTTCCCAGGTGTTCACATCCTCCCTCAACAGCCCTTGCTCACCACACACACACACATACACACACACACACACGTGCACGCACACTGCCTGCCCACACCTCTACCGGCTCACCCTGAAGACTTGCTGGATGTCCACCAGCAGAGTATGGACATCCTCCAGGTACTTCCAGGACGGGTGCCCCTCGAGCAGCACCTTCTGCACGGCCTCTGTGGCGCTGAGACTCACCCAGACCCACAGATACCGTAGCTCCTGCTGGCTTACCCGGGCCCTCTGCTGTGGGGACGGGAGAAATCATTCAAACCCCCAGACACGGGCCTCTGGGCCATCCCCAACACTCTGACCAACCCCCAGCTTGCCCCTGTATTGGGAGCTGACCACAGGTATCCACTGTGGACTGCAGACAACCTTGGGCCTGGGCCAAGGACGAGCTTGCTTGAGAGGCCAAGAAAGGCCCCTGGCAACAGGACCTGCCACACCAGTACACTCTCAGGAGAGGCTCCCGGCCACCCCAGGAGGCAAGGACCTGCCCAGCTCAGGAGGGGATTCTCACCAGCCTTGTGACGTTGGCCGCTCTGAGCACCCCCTCATAAGGCATGCTGACCCTGTAGTTGATGGGGAAGTAGTGTTTCTGGGGAGGTAAAGAGTAAATGGAGGTGAGGTCAGAGTCAGAAACAGCTCAGAGGGGTTTCCCCAAGCCGCCCCCACCCCCAGACAATTTGCTGTAGGAGGAGGGGACCTGGGAGCAGCCCTGTGATGGCAGAGGTGGCTCTAGGGAGAATGCGCTTGGCTGCCCATCAGGCTGGCACAGCTCTTTCCTCTGGAACCCAGGGAAGGAAGAAACTAAACACCAAGGTGCTATTAAGACAGAAGCCCCATGCCCTGGCCGTGGGTTTGGCTCAGCAGTTGGAGTGTTGGCCTGTGGACCAGAGAGTTCTGGGTTCGGTTCCCACTAGGGGCACGTACCAAAAAAAAAAAAAAAGACAGAAGCTCCAGCCAAGAAATAGTATGGGGGACACATGACCCTGAGAGAAATGAATTCCTTGAGGCGTGGAAGACTGAGAGAGTACTTGAAAACATCATGGTGATGGTTGCACAACTCTGCAGGTATACTAAAAACCAAGGGGTGTACACTTAAATGAGTGAATTATGTGGTATGTGCATCATATCAATAAAGCTGTTTTTAAAAATCGTGCTATGTGGGCTTCTCCACCCTATAAAAAGAGCCTGTGTCCCAATTCCTAGGTCCTTATCTCCTCAGCTAATAATAGTGTCTGGGGTTCCCCCAAGGTTTCCTGGAGTCCATTCCTCAATCCCAGGGTGAGTGCCACATGGAGGTGGGACAGAGGTCAGATTCAATACGGGGGACGGAGGCCCCCAGGGATGGCTGGCAGGAGGGAGAGGGAGCAGAGCGTGCAGGCCCGTGACCAGGCCCATCGGGGGTACGGAGGAGGAAGGAACCACACAGACTCAGGGCAGACACGGGTCCATGGAGGGACCCTGAATGTCCAGATGCCAGTGCCCCTGAGCCAGGGCTTGGGAGGGCCGCAGCGGGGCCGCATGGTTACCATGTACTGAAGGCGGTTCCTGTACTGCAGCTTGTCCCGCAGAAAGCCAGTGGTGGCACACTCCTCATGCTGGGCCAAGGGCCACACCGCCAAACCCTGGCTCCCCAAGGCCATGCCAAGGAGGATCCCGAGATCTGTGGACCGTGCCCAACAGGAACACGTGAGCAACCCAAACCGCTTCCACACTGCCCAGTCTTCCCCTGTCCCCATCACAGGTCCCCATGGGAGAGGCCAGAGGGGCGGGGGCACACAGTCCTCAGGGGGCCTTCCCACCACCAAGAACGCTGTCTGCCGGCTGGGCCCCAGGACGGCGAGGCCAGGCAGGCATGAGCCGGCCAGCCTGTCTCCTCCTGGCTGGAAGCCACCCCTGAGGTTCCTCTCATTTCCTCCCCACTTCTCCCCAGAGTCAGCCACAACCTCCCTCCCAGCACCTCGTGCAGTGCGGACATGTGTTCAAAGCCTGTTGCTGCATTTTCCACCTGGGGGTTCTCGCTCCAACTCTAGAAATGACTCTGGGATGACTGAAACCATTTTTCTCCCTGTTCTATCTGACCTTGGCATCCATTGCAGTTAGAGGTACCAAGGGGTTTGTAGCCATCCTTCTGGTCTTCTCATTCTGGGATGCTGAGCAAATCTCACTCAGGCAGTTTCTCACTCCCTGCCAACAAATGAGCAGCCGCTTTCTGAACGTACCACCCTTCACCACTGGGGGTCGCCATGACTACAAAAATAGCCTGTGTGATTTCCAGTAACCGAACAGACTTACAAAAAATCTCTAAGAGAATTTGCAAAAAATATGAATAAGTGTTACGTCAATCAGAGCAGAAATAACAAAACATAAATGGACAAGAGACGTAGCCAAAAAATTAATCTCACTAATAAAGATAAGAGAATTCACATTAAAATAATCAGATGCCATGTTTCATCTATCAAAATCGAAAGTTGTTTTGTTAGTTTAATTTAATTTTATTTTAATAGCATTTGGTGCTGGCAAAAGTAGTAAGGCAGATGCTCCTTTCCTGGAAAGAAATTTGGCAATTTTTATTGTTAATAAAATTAATAATGTCCATACCCTTTGACCTACTAAGCCTTCAAAATGTCCACACCCTTTGACACATTAAATTTATTTCCAGGAATAAACTCAAAGGAAAACAAAAAAGAGAGACATAACCAGAAGATTTATGGACAAAGACTTCCATTGCAGCATTATTTCATAATAGTGAAAATCTAAATGATCTAAATGTTTTATAACAATGTAGCCAATAAAAGTCACATTATCAAAGAGTGCTTTATGACATGTTTATGTGGTAAGAAAAATAGTTATGACATGCTCAGGGAAGTTTTTTAAAAGCATGATTTAACACTTTGTCTCCGTGTGTAGAGAATAATTCAAGCATAACGTGAATTCTGTTCATTACATGTGTGTGCACAGGAAGTGTGGTAGCGAGAACTGCACGGAATGTCTAGGGGATATTTCTATGTTCTTACTGTTTTATAGGATGTATTTTATAGTCTACATTCAATATCTATTATTATTATAGTGAAAAGCAATCTTTTTTTTTTCCAAAAGGCAGGCTGAGTCCTCTCCTGGATCCACCCTGGTTCTGAGTAGAAGCTACTGACGACTTTCCCCACTCACCTTCCTGCCCCGAGGAGACGTCTGCTCTTAAACCCTGCGAGTCTGGGCCCGCTCGGCCCGCTGCCATCCGTGCTCCGGCCCTCACCAGGAGCACCCCCAGGTCTTCTCCAGCCCTGTGCCCCAGAAGGGCTGCAGCCCACCAGCTCTGTCCTCTCACATTTTTTTGCAAGGTCACTTCTCTTCCCAAGTGCTCAAACCAGGATTTGGACAAAGGAACAGACCTACACACTGAACCAGCTTGCTTCCTGTCTTGTCTTCAAGTCATTAGCCCTCCCAGCTTGGCACCCCTGCCCCAGAGCCTTGGTCACACTTTCCCTACCCGAGGCATCCTCACATGCAGACCTCCTTCAAGGTCTCACCAAGACTCCTGCTCTGCACAGGCCTCCCCTGCGCACACCGGCCCCACCAACCCCCTCTCACACCATCTGTCCAACTCCCTCGTTATCTGCGCCAGGCAACTCAGCCCCTAGTGTGTAAACGCGATACAGTAACCACAACCCTGGCTTATTTACTGAGCACTTTGGGGGTTCACCTCGAGCAGGAGAATGGTATCATGCATCTGACTCTCCTGCAGGGCAGGCAGGGCCCCACCCCAGAGTGTCTGATTCAGTAGGTCAGGGTGAGGCCAGAAAACTGGCATTTATAACAAGTGCTTAGGTGCTGCTGCTGCTGCTGCTGCTGCTGCTGCTGCTGCTGCTGCTGCTGCTGGTCTGGGGAACACACTTTGAGAACCGCTGACCTAGAGTGACGGTTGCAAAGTAGTGTCCTAAGGGCCACATCTGGTTCACAGAGGTTTCACATAAAAATCTGCCCATGTCCCTTGGTAGGTGCCCCCTGTAGAAAAACAATAAACTAGGTAGAACCAAAAAAAAAAAAAATCTGAATTTCTATCTTTTCTTTAAAAGCATCTCTCCACGTTGGGTCTTCTTTCCCATGACGCAGTCACCATTGGCTGCTCACCCCAACCCACCCCCCCAAGTCTGGCCCCAGCTGCCCCTATCTCTGTCCTGGTCCAGAGCCTTTGGGGCCTGGCAGCTGCAGGCTCATAGCCGGGGCCGGGTCTCAGAGAGCCAGCGCCTACCAGCCTGGCACTCCTGGGCTGCCCCAGAAACCCTGCCCACAGATAATCTGCCTCCCCAGACAGACTTCCTCCACGTGTGTGGTCCATTTCCAATTTTAAGCTACTTTCCTGTTGCCTCCACCCCGAGAAACAGGCCAGCGAACAGGCGACGAGGCAGGAACAGTACAACTGCAGCCTCATGGCCATGCGGCACCCCTGGCGCCCACAGAGGGGCACCCCTGACCCTGGTTGAGGACCTGCCTTGCCTCACCCCCTTCCAGAGCTAGGAGGCCCAAAAGAGGGGACTGAAGAAAGGGTAACTCCCCGTGAGGAAGGAACTCCCCGATGCCTCCCAGTAGGACAGTCTCTTCCTGAGACAGCGCTTTGTGCAGTGATAAATGGCACTTGTCCACCACCACGTGCAGGGGGTATATAGCACCCCCTAAAAGTATTCTTGTTTACCCAGAACCTCAGATGTGACCTTATTTGGAAATAGAAGCTTTGCAGATGTGATTAAGGCCCACTCTAAATCCAGGGACTGGCTTCCTTAGAAGAGGAGAGGACACAGAGACGGACAGGGGAAGACCACATGAAGGCAGGGGCAGAGGTTGGAGTGATGCTGTCACACACAAGGAAGGCCAGGAGCCACCCGAGGTTTGAAGAGGCAGGAAGGACCCTCCCCTGGAGCCTTCAGAGGAAGCGTGAGCCTGCCCACACCTGGATTTCAGACTCCTGGCCTCCAGTGCTGAGACAGAACACATTTCGCTGCTTCAAGCCACCAAGTGTGTGACCATTTGTTACTGCAGCCAGTCCTTCTCCAACCCCAGCCTCTCTGCAGGCGGTCCGCACCCCTGCCTCTCACGCTCCAGCCGGTCCTTGCCCAGTCCTGCAATCTGCCTCCACCGTGTCCCCTGTACCACGCCTTCTCAGCCTCACTTCCATCTCGGGGACTGGCCCTCATTCCTTCCTGTTCAGAAGGCTGCAAGTTTGACTTTCCGAAAGCAGGGTTCCTCTCAGTCACAGCCTCAGCCCCAGATCAGACGAGGAAACTTCCGGGTGCCCGTCATCTCGTGCACCAGCTTCCATGCCCTCTCGCTGTCCTACCGCTGAGCCTCTGCTCACGCCGGTGCTTCTACCCAGAACTCCGCCGGCCACCTGTGAACACGGCCCACCTTCAAGACCAGTTCAAGTGGCACCTCACCCATGCTGCTCCTCCTGTTCCTCATGACCTGGAAACTTCCAGAACAGTGGGTCTCTGTCCCTCCACTGTTCTAGATGCTCTGACCCTAGGCTCTGATCCCACAAGGGCCAGGTTGGACCCAACTCCTCTGCCAGTTCCTTGAAGGATCCAGTCCTGACCCCGTCCCTTCAGCAAGGTTCCCAGAGCCTCACTCTGTGCCAGGAGAGTGAGGCCGCAGCAGCCAGGTCCTCGTCACCCAGCGGTAACTCTCCAGTGGGCACATGGGAGGCACCAGAAACACGTGTTGAATTTGGTTCAGTTAAATCGAACCTGAGTCGGATGGGACCTTGGTCTGGCCTCCTCCCAGCAGGCGTGAGAGCCTTCTAGGTCCTTTTTCTCTGTCCGCATTTCAACTTTTTTTCCTTTTCCCAACAAACCGCTCTCCATCTGCCTTTTAATTTTATTCTTTGTGGAGAAAGGGGTAGCGGAAACTGGCTGCCTTCCCAGGCGCCTGAGGCCCAGACACTTTCACAAGCCCCCACCGCCTGCTGGCCACGCCCAGGGGGGCAGGAACCCTTTCTCTGCCACCTCTGTCCCCACTGTCCTTCTAGCACCCAAATCTGAGAAGGTACTGCTGCCACCTACCCCCAGTGCCTGCTCCATCCCTGTGATCACCACTGACGATGCCCACCCAGCCTACGACTCACACCCACCCCCCCTGAGCTGGGGTCAGCTGGAGACAGCGTGGAAGGTGGGCGTGGGAGTCCCCGAGGGCACCTGCACTAAGCTGGGAAGCATCTCAACTTCTCACCAGCAAGAATGGCCCGGTTGCTATGGTTACAGCAGAGCCAGTCTCTGGGCCAAGGCCTCCCCGGGGCAGTCCCCATGCCCCCCCCCCCCAGTACTCACAGTGGAGCCAGGCGAATCCCCGGGGCATGGTGGAGCGAGGGGTCCCCCAGAGAGCAGAGGCGGTGTTCCCGGCGGTGTGTCTATCCACAGAGGCCCGAGTGGGGCCTACATGGCAGGGGGTCAGCACAGGTGGCCCAAAGTAGAAGAAGGGCTGGCCAGGAAGGATGGCCTGGCAGGGGGACACAGGTACGCCTGGGGCAGCGCCACCCTTATCTGCCCAGCAGTGTGGAGGGCAGCCCGGGAGCCGAGGCTGCAGGTTCCATGGCAGCGAGACCTGGCCTGAGAGAGCGGCCTCAGGGTCTTCCCCCCGAGAGGAGAGTCCCCAGCAGGCCCCCGGAGTCTGAGGCTGGGCTGTGCTTTCTCTGATTTTTCCTTCTGCAGCTGCTCAGTGTGAAATCTGGCTCTGGAAAGAGAAAGGAGGAGAGAAACCAATTATGTAAGAGCAGTGCTGCCACTCAGCCATCAGCCACAGGCACCGGGAGCCAACTGTGGGTGTTGCACCCACCGCCCAGGGGAACCTCCAGGAAAGGACGGAGGCACGCGGCCCGGCCCGGCCCTGCCCTGGTGGCTGCCCACTTGGGGACACAGGCTGGCACACAAGAAGTGACTTCAGAACACCCCAAGGACAGCATCAGCCCAGGAGTGAGTCATGATGACACCGGCTGGCAGCCTGAACAAACACGGACCTGGGGCTGAATGGCCACGTCGGTTAAATCGAGGGAGCTTCCTGGAAAAGGTGAGATTTGAAGGAAAAGTATTAGAATGACTGGGGCTGCAGGAAAGTTAAAAATGCAGACAATGCACCCTCCATGCACCCTCAGGCTTAGTCCCATGCTCCCATCACCCCCATTTTTTGCCCCCTCTTAATAGATTGCCCAGTTAAATTTTAACTTCAGATAAACAACACATATTTTTTAGTGTAATTATGTCATGAATTATGTCTCAAATCCTGCAATGGACATACTTATACTAAAAATAATACATTACTTATCAGCAATTCCAAATTAAGTCGGCAGTCTCACATTTTTATTTGCCAAATTTTGCAAATCTATGATAATAATGGGATTGCCCTTCCTGAGTGCTTACTACATGTTAGGCCAGGGTTAAGGCCTTAATATTCATTGAATGTTCACAACAATTTTATTTTATTTATTTATTTTTTTAATCCTCACCCGAGGACATTTTTCGATATTTTGTTCAGATAGAGTGGGAGGGAGAGAGAGAGAGAAACATCGACATGAAAGCAACACATAGAGTGGTTGCCACCCACACGACCCAACCAGGGCCGGGGACAAACTGCAACCAAGGTACGTGCCCTTAGTGGGAACCGAACCCGGGTCTCTCCGGACCGCAGGCCGACGCTCTAACCGCTGAGCCAAACCAGCCAGGGCCACAACAATTTTATGAGACCCAAAAAAGTCTCATTTTATCAATGAAGAAATCAGAGCCCAGAAAGTTTAAGACACTTGTGCGAGGTCACACAGAATGTAAGAAGCGCAACAAGAATTCAAACCAGGCCTACTGGTGGCCACTCTTGCAAGGCAAGACCCACATGTGTTAGGAAGCCCCTACCAGCTGGGCACTAGGCTTGGCGCTCTCATACCGTCATCCCACCTGTCCCTCACTGGACTCTGGGAGGTACTGGCCACTGTCCCCATTTTGCAGATGAAGAAACTAAAGCTTTGAGAGGCTGAGTTAGCCAGTGGCAGCAATTCAGCCAGACTCAGTTCTGTTCCCTGTCCTTGTCCTGTTTCCCCTCTGGTCGGGGAAAAGGCCACAGGTTGATGGCATGAGGGGAAAGTAGATATGATTTGGGGGGCCTTCTCCATTGTGGGATCCATCCCTACAGAATGAACCAGAAGTGCTGGTCCTTGCGCTAGACGTTTCCCGGCAGGCAGGCAAGGACTCACACAAAGAATGCGGGTTCCCTTTCATCCTTCCTGTGACGTCACCCCTGGGTCTCGGTTCCTCCTCTGATTCAGGCTATTACACTGTCACCACAAATGCTCACCTAACTGAAATTTCTTGTTGTCATTAGTTAAATATTTTTTGGTGTCTTAGGTATAATTTACACACAGTAAAATTCACCATTTTTTAGTGTACAATTCTATGAGTTTTGACAAATTCGTAGAGTTGTATAACCAACCACTACAATAATCAAGACATAAAACATTTCCATCCACCCAGAAAATTCCCGGTGGCCATCATGTAGTCCACCCTCCTCCCACCTCGGCCTCTGCCCCGCACCTGCACCTTTTCCAAGCAGCCAGGTAACCCTGAGTGCAGTGGGCACCCTCCGCCCCAGCCCTCTCACCCGGCCGCTGCATCTGGGTACAGCCAGGGCACTGCATGTGTTAGTGGCGTGTTCCTTTTTCTGGCTGAGAGGTATTCCGTTGTATACCCAAATCACTGTCTGTTTGTCCACCCGCCAATTGAGAGAGAGAGAGAAACACTGATGTCAGAGAGACACATTGGTTGGATGCTTCTCATGCAATCCCCAACCAGGGTCAGGGATCAAACTTGCAACCCAGGTATGTGCCCTTGACCAGGAATGGAACCCGAGACCCTTCAGTGCTTGGGCCAACATTCCAACCTTTGAACAACACTACCAGGGCTGTTTCCAGTTTTGTTTTGTTTTTTCTCTTTATATATTTTAGAGAGAGAGGAAGTGAGAGGGAGAGAGATAGAAACATCAATGAGAGAGAACATCGACTGGCCGCCTCCAGCGTGCCCCCCACTGGGGATTGGGCCCACAACCTGGGCATGTGTTCTGACCGGGAATTGAACCGGCAAGCCACACCAGCTGGACTGTTTCCAGCTTTTAATGATTATGACTGAAACGCCACAGCCTCTGAACATAGGTTCTGGTGGGGCTGAAGTTCCATTTCCTCAGGCCAATCCTCAGCTCGAAGGTGCTCCACAGCTCTTCAGCACATCAGGGCTCTGCGTGCTGACCACGGGGCCCAAGCACTGGTCTCCCGCCCTGTCCTGCTCCCACTGGTTGGAGTATCCCTCAGCCCAGACCTCACCGAGTACATGCACATAGCAGGCTTCATGCACCATCCACACTCCACAGAACCACATTCTATCGGGCTTCATGCACCATCCACACTCCACAGAACCACATGCACACATTCTATCGGGCTCGTGCACCATCCACACTCCACAACACTCTCTTGGCAGCTTCCTCGCTCAGAAACCTCCCAGAAAGGCCCCAGTGCTGAACACCACCGTGGTCCACACATCCTGGGCCAGACCTGATGGAGAAGCTAAGAAAGGGAGAAACAGCCTCATGGTCGCCTTCATGCCACTCCACATAGTCCTGAACCTGAGCTCCATCTGTGGGGGGATGTGCGAGAGCCACGGAGGACACAAAGAGGGAGTTACCCAATGACACAGGAGCCAGATCAGGGCAAAAGGGCAGGGGAAAGCAAACTGCACACAGAGGCTCTCAAACAGGCCCTCCAGGCCTGAGTCATCTGCCGAAAGCAGTGGCCTTGTGGGTACTGGGAGAGCCCAGGAGGGAGGGAAGAAGGTGAGAACGAGTTGCTCCCACCAGCCCCTCTCCACCCCTGGGGCTTGGAGCAGTCCTGAGGAAGCCAGTGCAGGGAGAAGTTGTGTAAGAAAGTAAACGCTGGACTATTATTCTGTGTAAGTCATTTGTGAGTAGCATCTTCAAAGTCACAGTAACAAGTAAAAAGTGAATAATGTAACAGAATCAGACTGAAGGGAAGTCAAGGAGCTGCTGAGGGAGCAGGTGCGGAGGGAAGCAGGTGATGAGGAGCTAAACCTTCCGAGGGGGCGCCCACAGACCATGCCTCAGAGGAAGAAGTAGCAACATGAGCACACGAGTTAGAAGGATCAAATATACATTTTGCTTTTCTAAAAAGTTGAGAGTCCTGTATCTGGGAGCAGGAATGGGAGGAGGGCGCAGACAGAAACCCGCTATTGTTTATTCCAGCATATCCTGTGGGACAATTTGATTCTTTAATTCAGGTGCAGGTATGACTTCGATAAGACCAAACTTTTTTAAAAGGCATTTTGATGCAGGAACTGCATTGCCATGTTCGTCTGGTCGGGCAGCAAGGGCCTGCTCCCTCCTTCCCAAAGCCACCTGCTTGAGAACCAGCCCAGCCTGCAGGTGTTGTTCAGGACACACACATTCTATCAGCTGTGTAACAAACCACCCCCATCTATAGTGGTTAAAACAGCAACCGCTTCTTATTTTTCACAAATCTATAGGTTGGCTGGGACTCAGTCAACCGAGCCTGGGCTGGGCTGATCTAGCCTGACTTGCTCATGCTGGTGGGTTGGCAGAGTGCGGGCTGGCCTAGGGTGATTCAGCTGGGATGACTCCCCTCCAGCAGGCTAGCCTGGGTTTGTTCTTTTGGCAGAGGCAGAATTCTAAGAAAGGGAGCAAATGAGTCAGTGGCCTTATGGCTGAGGCAAACGACCATCACACTGTCGCTTCTACCACATTCTGTCCCCCAAAGCAGATTGGCAGGGGAGAGGGGATAGATTCCATTTCTTGATGGAAGGAGCTGCAAAACATCATTGCAAAAGGCATGGATGGGGTGTGCATGTGAAGAATTGGGGCTACTTTTGCAACCAATCTATTATTACACCCACACAAAGCATTCTTCGCCCCAAAGCATCCAGGCCCGACCTGAGGCCCAGGGGACACAGCATCAAACCACCCGCTCTAGCCTGACCACTTGCCTATAAGCTGGGCTGGGCCAAAAGGGCCTCAAAGACATTCTATGCAACCCCCACATCCTAGAGATAAGGAAACAGGGGCTTGCGGGGGAGGGAGCTGGCCCAGGCTGCCCACCCAACTTCATTCTCCTCCAGTGAATCAAGCCACTCTGTCCTTTGAGAATGTGAGGAGGGACAATAGGCAGCCACCAAGATTGAGTCACAGATGTTCTTCTATTCAGGAGGAGGTGAGAGAATAGAACTGAACTTAGGCCATAGAAAAAGGGAGACAAACAAAAGCATAAACAGGAATGAATTATTCTGGTTAATTCATCAGCCCAGGATCCAGATTTCTGAGTAACATTTCACCCACCACCTCAGTGGAAAGAAGATTCTAGACCAGGACGCCCCCTTGGCCATCTCTGTGAAGGCAGTCTCATCAAAGAGGTAGGCTGGCTAACACCCATGACTCCCATGCAGTACAAGTCCAATCTGCAAAGGAGTCTCTGTTTCTCCATCCCTTGAACCTGGGCTCGGCCATGTGACTTGCTCTAACCTAGGGATGTGTTGTGCCTTGGGGCTTGTCCTCTCTGCGTCTCGTAAACAATTCCTGGCTAGCCTCCTAGAGGTGCTGCTGGGGTCCCAAGCATT